GGAAGTGCAGTGATAATTGCATCTAGTTAGGGGTGTGTGTGGGAGGCAACCAATTGATGTGTCTGTCTCACATTGATGTTTCTCTCTCTCTCCCTTCCTCCTTCCTCCTTTCACTCTCTTTAGAAAGCAATGGGAAAAATATCCTCAGGTTAGGATTACAAAAAATAAATAAATAAATAAATAAATAAATAAACAAACAAACTACCTATAATTTATTTTTGTATATTATATGGGGGTTTGGATCCACTTTTATTTGGTTCAAGTGTCACAGATCCATTATTCCATCTTTTCCTTCAATTATTTGTAAAGTCACTGCTGTCATAGTGTCCATATATGTTTGTGTCTGTTTCTGGACTCTCTATTCTATACTCTGTCTATGCTCCACAAATGCCACACAGTCTTACTCTACCTGTATAATAATTCTTGATATCTAGTAGGGCAAAATTCCATCTCATTCTACTTCAAAGGTGTCTTGACTATTGTTTATCCTTTTTTTTGTTCCTGAATTTAAAAATCACCTTATTGCATGGCCAGTGTGGCTCAGTGGTTGAGCATTGACCCACACACCAGGAGGTCACTGTTTGATGCCAGAATCCTTACTTTTTTACAAGATTAATCTAAAAATCACACCACTGTAGAACTAAAATACAGAAAAGCTTCCTGCGTAATCAACGGAAGACTCGCTGGAAAGAACCCTGATACCTGAGCACTGAAAGTAAGGACTGCACATAGACACTGAGGATGGGTGGAGGCGCAACACTGGTAGGACGGGCACCCACAGACAGCAACTGAAGTTCCGGAGATATCTCAGCTGTGGGGGGTTGCCACTGAGAACTCTGAACTCTAATACCCAAACTGGGGCCCCCAGCAGAGAGTACCAGAACTGAGAAGGATACCCACATAATATCTGGCTGTGAAAAGCAGTGGGGTTGCTGCCTGCCAGGGAGAGACAGCTGGAATTTCAGGCACTCTCTTAAAGAGCCAATGCACAAAATTTCCTGTGGAGCCACCCACCTTGTGCTCTGGCAGAGGGAGGGCAGAGTGGACTAGAGCTGTGTGATCAGAAGATAGGATTGGAGACTCAGGGGTTAGAGCTCAGAAGGCAGACACCCCTGGTTTCCTGTGTTGAGTCGTCCATCACCCAGCAAAGGACATATTTCTCCCACAGACATTTGCCTTGCCTGGGGAAGACAGTTGACCCACCCTATTGGAAAACAGCATGCCCTGAGGCCAGTTAAGAGACTAAAAATAACAATTAGCCTCCAGGCCAGTGGTTCTCAACCTTGGATGCACATTAGAATCACCTGGGAATCTGTTTAAAATCCTGATTTCTGGGCTTTATCCTCCAGAAATTCTGTTTCTTTGTTATGGGGTAGGGCCACAACATTAGTAACAAAGAAACAGAATTTCCGGAGGATGAGGCCCAAAAATCAGGATTTTAAAAAGATTCCCTGCTCTAATCGGTTTGGCTCAGTGGATAGAGTGTCAGCCTGCGGACACAAGGGTCCCAGGTTCAATTCCGGTCAAGGGCATGTACCTTGGTTGCGGGCATATCCCCAGTGGGGAGTGTGCAGGAGGCAGCTGATTGATGTTTCTCTCTCATCGATGTTTCTAACTCTCTATCCCTCTTCCTTCCTCTCTGTAAAAAATCAATAAAATATATTTTAAAAAAAAGAAAAAGAAAAAGAAAATAAGCCTTATTTTTAAAAAAAAGATTCCCAGGTGATTCTAATGTGTAGCCAAGGTTGAGAACCACTGCTCCAGGCAGTAGCAACTGCCGCACCCTGCTGAAAAGAATTCTCACCACAACTGAGGACAATTTCCTGGGGAAATTCAAGAGGAATCCTATCTGTCTGTAGGCAGAGACAGTCTCTGAAGGCATTGAGTCTTTGCCTGACCTAATTAGTTAGAAACAGCATTTGACACTGTCCTACACTAGTGATTAAGAGGTGTAGAGGATCTACCTAATGTATAGTCACAAACCCAAACAGGCAGCCAAAATGAGGAGACAAAGAAACAACCCCCAAATGAAAGAACTAGAACATTTCCAGAAGAGATAAAGGAAGCAGAGATAAAAAATTTATCTGAAACAGAGTTCAGAGTCATGATGGTAAAGATGTTCAACATCATGAAAAAAGATATTGTTACTATAAAAACAGAAATAAATAATGACATAGCACAAATAAAAAATACATTGAAGGATTACACAGCAGATTAGGGGAAGTTAAGGATTGAATCAGTGAATTAGAAGACAGGGTTGAAGAAATCACTCAATCACAGAATCAAAAAGAAAAACACAATTAAAAAACAAGAGGACAGCTTACGGGAGCTGTGGCATAAAATGGGGAAGGGAACCAGGGTATGTCCCCCCCAAAAGTGGATCTAGAGAGTCACCCTTGCAACTCCCCTGACAACTCCCTTCCCGTCACTTGCAGCTTTGAAAAGTGATCTCCAATACTGGTTGTGAGAAATCAGACCAAATATTTTGGGGCTTGAGCATCAGAAATCTGCATGACAATAAATAAGTTCGTATCAATAATAACCTTAAATGTAAATGTTTTAAATGCTCCTAACAAATGATATTGAGTAGCTGAATGGATACAAACACATGAACCAATCATATGCCGTCTATAAGAGACCCACCTCAGAACAAAAGACACACATAGGATGAGAGTGAAGGGATGGAAAAAAAATTTTTTTTCATGCAAATTGAAAAGAAAAAAAAGCTGGAATAGCAATACTCATATCTGACAAAATAGACTTTAAAACGAAGGCCATCAGAAGAGACAATAAAAGTCACTACATAACACTAAAGGTATCAATCAAACAATAAGATATAACCCTGGTAAACATATATGTACACAATACAGGAGCACCTGAATATATAAAAAACTTCTAGAGGATTTTAATGGAGAGATCGACAACAATACAGTCAGAGTAGGGAACTTTAACACCCCCCAAGTGCCCATCAGTAAATGAGTGGACAAAAAAATCATGGTACATTTATACCATGGAATACTATGCAGCAGTTAAAAAGATGCATCTCTTACCCTTTGAGACAGCATGGAGGGACCTGGAGAGTATCACGCTAAATAAAATAAGCCAGTCAGAGACAGATGAAGGCCTGGGGCAGAGGTGGAGGGGGGGGGGCAGGCTGGAAGGGGTCAATGGGGGGAAAACGGGAACATATGTAATACTTTCAACAATAAATAACTATAAAAAAATTAAATTCCTGGGTAAAAATAAATAAATAAAAATCTGTATTTTTGAATTTTAAGACCTTGGAAATAAGCATACAGATCTCATTATTTGCCTCTCCATTTAATGGAGGTGCAGTGATAATTACATCTAGTTATTGTAGTCAATGGGATCATATCATTTATTTGGAGCCTGATTTTGCATGTTTGGTTATATTGACACAGCCTTTCGGATTAAGGCCTTAGGAAGGAAGAGATCACATTGTTTCTTGCTCTGGTTTCCCCCCTTTTTGCACCTATGTGTCAATGTTAACCAAACAGCTCCCCAAATCCATGACTGGTCCCTGTGATTGGTCCCTGTGATTCCTAAACCCACTTAGGGAACTGCAGCAACCTGAAAGGTGGTGCCAGAATCAATCTTTGCACTGGCAATGCTCTTGATTAGGAATCTGCTTTATTTTTTGAATTTTTATTGTTTTCAGAGAGGAAGAGACAGAAACATCAATGAGGAGAGAGAATCATTGATCAGCTGCCTCCTGCACGCCCCCACTGGAGACCAAGCCCACAACTCGGGTATGTGCCCTTGACCAGAATTGAACCCAGGACCCTTCAGTCCACAGGCCGAAACTCTATCGACTGAGCCAAACCGCTAGGGCAGGAATCTGCTTTCTTATACACCAGTCGTATCTTCCTGAAACGACGTAACCTCATAGTTACCTTGACTTTGCTATCTCTTTGTTCACCCCGATAACATATTTACAGACTCTTAGGATGGGTCAATTCTCCAAATGACTCATCCCATCTTTTCATGGACCATTTCACAGGTAGATGCCAAATATATAGGTGGGGTTGGGAGGTGGGAAGCTAGAACTGAGTCTCTTTAACTTTATTCTCAAGGTGGGAGATCATCAGATTTGAGTGTACTCCTATAACTTTTTAAAAAAATATTAAGGTCTGGCCAGGTGGCTCAGTTGGTTGAAGCATTGTCCCATACACCAAAAGATTGTGGGTTCGATCCCCAGTTGGGATGTGCACGTTTCTCTCACACATCAATGTTTTCCTTCTCTCTCTTCCTCTCCCTCTAAAAAAAATCAATAAAGCTGGCCAGTGTGGCTCAGTGGTTGAGTGTTGACCTATGAACCAGGAGGTCATGGTTCTAATCCTTGTCAGGGCACATGTCTGGATTGTTGGCTGGATCCCCAGTAGGGGGCAGCAGGAGGCAACCAACCAATGATTCTCTGTCATCATTGATGTTTCTCTCTCTTTTCCTTCCTCTCTGAAATCAAGAAAAAATATTTTAAAAATCAATAAAGACATATCCTAGGTAAGGATTTTTAAAATATTTAAAATTATGTAACTAAAGTACTAATATTGTCTTTGTTTAAAAATAAAAGATAGCCCTAGTCAGTTTGGCTCAGTGGATAGGGTGTTGGCCTGTGGACTGAAGGGTCCTGGGTTCAGTTCCGGACAAGGGCACTTACCTTGGTTGCAGGCTCAATCCCCATCCCCTGTGGAAGGCAACCAATGGATGTGTTTTCTCACACATGTGTGTTTCTCTCTGTGTGTCTTTTCCTCTCCCTTCCACTCTCTCTAAAAATCAGTGGAAAAATATCCTCCGGTGAGAATTAACAAATTAAACACATAAATACGTAGGATAAGAACCCCCGCAAAATCCCCTTTCACCACCCGTCTATTGCCTTCCTCTCTAGGCGAAACCATTATCGTTTTGAGGACACCTTGCCAGTACCCTTTCTATACATTTTTTTCCTCTTCTGCATATACATACACACATTTTTATTTTTATTTTTTACAAAAATGACACCTCTTCGCTTTGTAGGTGAGGAAACTACGTGAAACCTGGAGGGGAGACATATTGACAAATTTACTGAAGGAAAGTGGACTGGACAATAGTTCATTAGACTCTACCATGTGTCAGACTCTGCACCCAGTGCTTTATTGGCGCGAAGGGTTCTGGTATTTTACTTCTGTTGGATGGGTCCCCGCACTAGGTTAGCTATGCAATTAGTTTAGAGGGTGGGAAGCACGGCGAAAGTCGCTTCGGTGCGATGATGTAGAATTTGTATTTTGATGGGAGCTACAGGAGACTTAGCAGAAGGCTATGGAGCTGCAAAAGAAGAAAAAGAATGTCTTGGGCAGTTGGGTCTGCCAATAAGGCTTGTGAAACTGAAACGCGAAAAGCCTACTACCTGCCAAGCCCGAACATTCCTTCGGAAACCAGAAACCAATACTGGGTCTAGGAGAACGGCCTGGGAGCTTAGAGAGCAAGGCACCAGAGGCTGCAGAGGGGATCGCGGCCGCAGGCAGCAACGGAACAGCGAACCCGCGGAGCAGAGACCACGCTCGTACGCGCCTGCGAGTGCGAATGTGTATGTCTGTGTTGTTGTTCCGCGGCAGCGGCGGCGGCGGTAAGATGGCTGCCCACGGGGGCTCCGCGGCGTCCTCGGCGCTGAAGGGGTTAATTCAGCAGTTCACCGCCATCACCGGTAAGAGACGCGGTTACCGGAAGGTGGAGAGTGGGGTCTGGAGCGGGCGGCAGGTCTGCCCCGGGCGTCCCCGTACCTCCCTGCAGTCCTCCCTCGGGCTTTCCCCACCGCTCCCGTCCTCTCTCCTGAGGAAGAGGCGACGACGGCGTCGGGTCTCCGGGTCCAGGCGGCAGA